TCAAAAGACCCAAGGATCGCCATGTACGGCACCGTGAGCTCCAGCACGAGCGCCAGCAGCTCACGCGACCTCCCACCTCCGCCTACACCGTCGCCGTTCCGTTACCACGTGCGCGAGGGCGACACGCTGGCCAGTATTGCACTTAAGACGCAGACGACGGAGGCGGCGCTGCTGGCGCTTAATCCGCTGCTGGGCCGCAAGAAGCGGCACGTCAAGCTGTATCCAGGCCAGCAGCTTGTCGTGGAGGAAGCACACGCCGTATCTTTGCCACCACCACCCGAATGCATCGACAATGGCTGGGGCCAAATGCATCTCGTGCGCTCGGGCGAGACGCTGCGTGGCATTGCGGCGCTCTACAATACGACGGAGGAGATTCTGCGGCAAGACAACCGCCGCTACTTCCCCATGGGCGAGCGCAGCTTACTATGTCCCGGTCAACTGTTACATGTGCGTCTAATGAACACAGGCGAGATGGAGAAGGACGATCCCGTGGCCAACAGCGACGCAGATGCCAAAGCCTCAGCTTTAAACGCCATGAGCGAACAGGAGGCCACGTACGCGAGCACGTCGGCTGCTTTCGCGCGATACAAGACGCACCTGGTCACTCCCACGGACACCTTCGAGTCCATTTGCAAGACGTACAACATCCCATACTCGCATTTCTTGCAGATTAACCGCGGCCGATACCCCGTCGGCCAACGTGCGGAGCTCGTAGCAGGTGAACGAGTTATTGTGCCGGACCTCTTGGCAGCGCAGCAAGCGGCCAGTCGACGCAATATCGCCGAAGTGAAACTCACCAAGCAGATCCACGTCGTGGAGCCTGGTGACACCCCCGAAGATCTGGCCAAACGCTACGGCATGACGTACGATGAAATGCGCGAGTACAACCGCGCCTACTTCCCGAAGGGATATCGCGGTGAGATCCGCCCTGGTTACAAGCTGGTGGTCAAGCGGCCAGACAGCGCCGACTCGCCACAGCAACTGCGCCACAGCGACTATAGGGATATCGATGCTGCCAGCAGCGCATGATCCTCCATCCACTAGGCCGTGTGTGGTAGTTTTTGTACATGTAGAGAAGGGAGTCTTGCTTTACCTCAATAGTTTTCAGAGGACGGAGCTTCGTGAGCTTCCTGTCAGTTCTTGACTTCTTTTGTACGTGCTGCTTTACTAGTCTTTGTTTTCCTACATGCGAGATTGGCGACGGCTTCGACGTGGGCGCAGGGAGGTGTCGGGTGTTTTCTGCTTCGACGCTGGTGGTGTGGACGCAGAAGTGTTCGCAGTACTGGCACTGCTATCGTCAGCCGATGCGTCCGAACTTGAAGTGGCAGGATGGTCCGTGGTGTGGTTCGTGGTCGTGACACGCTCAACGACAACAGTTCGAGATACCTTGGACTCAGCCTCGTCCTCGACGAGTTCGTGTTCTTCAACAATTGCGTGAGTCTCCGCGGTGTTCTCTTCATCACCAACTTCCTCATCAGAAGCTTCGATAGTAGTCGCCTTCACTTCAACACTCGCAGTTAATTCCACAACTTCCACATGAGAATCCCTAGCTGCAACTTGATCCTCATCTTCTTCGTCCGAGCTGTCTGACATCAACACGACCTCTTCGGCGTCCGATTCGTTCAGGTCACCAAATCGCCGCCATCTCTTTCGCTGTCGTGGTTGGGTAAGCAGTCCACGCTTCCGGTAATGAACCAATAAATAACCTGTCACCGCTGCCAACACCAGGAACATGAGCGAGAGCAAAGCGATTTGCGCCAAAGCGGACGTTGATGCTAGAGTTGCTTCACTCTGCAAATCAGCGACCACTTCCGGAGACGCTATCGTGTCCATTGTTGGGGTGCTGTGATCAGGCACCACGTCCTGGTGGGGGACAGCTTGCTCACTTTGTAGCCAAATCTCCTCCTCCTTCGCAATCGCTCGCAACTCTTCTTCAACTCGATCACGTTCGCCTTCTGTCTGCAACAAAACCTGTTCAAGCTGCTCCAACTCTTTGATCTCCTTCGCCACTACCGCTTCCAACGTCTCTATCTCGTTGGAGATGGCTGCATGAACGTCTTGTTCGGGTTGAATACTTGAAGTATCTTTCATTTGGCCTTGTTGAGCGTCGTCGACTGTACCAACATCACGTTGCAGCGGCTCTTTCTCAGCAACAGCATCATGTTTGTCCACCTTGGCAACGGTCTCAGCATTCGTCTGCTCGCTTAGAACTTCGATCGCCGTGACATCCGCACTCGCTGCTTGCGTTAACTCGGCCGTGCGTTTCGCCTGCTCTTTGCCATTTTCCTTCTCGATTTCAGGTTGAGTGGCAATCCGAGTTCTCACATCAGCGACAGAGTGTTCTACTCCATGCTCAGAGCTTATAGCAGCAACTTGACCAACCTCCACATCAAGTTCCAAGTCGATTCCACCCGTAGGAACACTCAGATGTGCCTTGATGCGATCTTCCTGCAGGATTTCCACATTATTTACCTCTGACAGGTTGTGCGGTTCCAACAGCTCCGTGACTTCCACTTGGGTGCGCTCCATCTCCACCACTACGTTGTCTATGTCCACCACGACTTCCGCGACGAGAGTTTCTTCCACTTTGCTATTCACCACATTGTCCGTGGACTCCAACTCAGCAGTCACCAGACTCTCCTCTGCGGTCTTCGCAACAACTTCTACTTCATCCTCGCTTATATAAATGCCTCCAGGCGCGTACTCCGCAACATTTGGCCTTTCCGCCACTGGAACCAAAAGATCAGCAGTCACCTGGCCATCCTCGGCCAGGTCACTAAGTATGGGTGCGTGTTCATCGATCAAATGTTCACTCTCTGCTGCCTCAGAGGAACTGCGCTCCCCCGATAGTTCTTCTGCGAGGTCAACGATCATGAGGCCTTCTTTAAAGAGCTCAGCCACAATTTGAACCTCCTCCTTCTTGCCAAGATTGATGTCTGCTCCCTCGTCAGATACGTCCTGCTTTGCCAGCTCTGTGGGCTCTTCAAGCACCTCAATCTTTTGAGGAATTTGGTTTTCAATATCAGAATGATCTTCAGTGGTAAGTTCGTCACCCTTAGAGGACTCATGGTCTTCATGGACAGGGTGTTCAGTAGAGTTTTCAACTGTAGTCAGAGTTCGTTTGAGCGCAGCCGCTGCATCGACTAGCGCTTGGTTTTCCACTGCGATCTCAGCCAGCGCTTCAGCTCCGCCCTCTTCTTCAACCTGTCGTGACGTTTTCTCGTACTCCTTTAGCGCTTGTTCAAACGATCGAGCATACTGCTCCTCAAGTTGCTTCAAGCGACGCTCAATTGCTTCTAGAGCAGCCATCTTTACGTTGACTACACTTTCGAGAGCGAAAGTCCGAGTTTCAGCGAGTATCGCGTTAGTGTCAGATGCGATTGTGAGTCGTCGTTCCTCGAAGCGCTTCACGTCCTGTAGAGCTTGAGACTCGTGCTCTGTCAGTTCTCTTCCTAGACTCTGGATTGCCGCTTGGTTTGTATCTAACGGTGTCAGGAATTCGTCGCTGGATAAACTCACATCCTTCACATCGGATTCTAATCCACTCATCTGCAAGAAATGGTCCAGACTAGACCGCATCCTTTCCGCAAGAGACGAGAGAGTTGCCATTAAGAAAGATCGAGCTCGATCAAGCAGTTCCCTATCACCCAGTTCCAGTCCTATCAACGTGAAGGCTGTTTGCACCTGTGACTTAATCCACTCCTTTGACAGTTTCAAAGCACCAAGCAGAAACGAAACTGTGAGTCTTAGTTGACGTGGAATACCCTCCATCAGCTCCAAGGTCACAGTTGCAACTGCTGTCAGTCCTGCAACACTTTGTAAGCCTTCGTACCATAGCGTCTCCGTAGCACGCGCTGAGTGTTTCAGCCTTTCGCTCTTTAGTAGTGCAAGCGATTTCATCCGTATCAATTCTTGCAAGTGCTTCGAATAGGGCTGAAGCTCAGTTAACAGCGTAATGAGAATTTCCTCCATTTTTCTAGCTGCAACTCGAACTGAAATCGCAGCAGGAGTCGATGGATACAATCGACAAACGGCAACTCCACCAGCTACCGTGACAGTCGCAACTCCAGCCACGACTGCCAGCACAATCGTTGATCTGCCACAAGGAGCCTTCCGCTTCTTCGTCATCGTCACTTTCACGCTCTGGTCTCGGTCAATCGTTGCAAAACGACTATCATTCTCCATTCCGAACCCTTTCCCATTTGAATCCACAATGTCTTCAATCGGGACAGTTGCAACTGTCGTATCAACAGAGTGATGGTGGCCATTTTCCTTGTTGCCATTTTCCAATAGTTTTTCATCAGACTGTGGCTGTAGTAATGGCTCTTTGCCATTGAGTGGTTCAGTGACGCCTAAGTCCATGCTGCTGCGTCTACGTTCCATCCGCTCGCATCCACTGGATCTACGCTGCTGTTCATTGTGACCTGTGTCCGCTTGACTGCGTCGGCGTTGTAGATATTGCTTCGTGTATGTGGCTGTCATAGTCGGTGGGCGCTCCGTCGATACCGCCTCCATGTTGCGTCTACGCCGCCGGGGCTCGGTCTTGGCGGTGGGACTTTTCGTCTTGGAGGCTTCGCACTGCTGCTTCCACGCGACAGCCTGCGCTTTCCGCCCGTCTCGCGTGGGCGACGGGGTCGGCATGGTGACCAAGAGAGGCGACAGGATCGGCTACCGTACTGGTGCTTTTTGTAAAAGTTGCAATTAATTTTAGAATTGAATAACACTGAACGAAATGAAATTAAGAAGCAATTAATTAGTTGATGGTTGACTGATTCAGATGACAAGCAAGCAAGAAAGGCTTGCTTGGTCGCTGGGGACTGGTCAAACCAGCAGCGAATGGGAGTAGCCATGCCGATCGGCGGTGTCTAGTGCAAAAATGATTGACACAGGAACATTGGCGGAATGATGTACATCGGTAAAAATGCTAAATTATCTAGTGGACACTTGATAATTTAGTGTGGATACTATCAACGGCATACGTGTTGTTGCTGCTACATGTACAGGTGCCATTACATTTGACAATTTTGCTGACGGTGCAGTGGCGACGCTGCGCCGCTCATTCGAGTAATACGGCAAACAGAGGATCGGATGGACCGCGATCGCTAATCGAATCGATATTATCCACACATTTTCCCGAATGCGACAACGCCGATATTGGGTGTCCATTTGGGGGATTGAGACGCCAAGTTTGCTCAAGCAAAGAGCGGCATGCGGTATCAAGCCAACCGTCTGCGTTCGTTTCCATGTGACGAGAGGCAAATATCCCATGTATAGAATGATTAGCATTGCGTTTTTGTAGAGTTGTTCACTACAGAGGGGTCGCTTCAACTTGCAGTTTAAGAGCGCGTCCGAATGGCTGGCTACGGCGGCTACGTTCGACGCTGGTGGTGATGTAGTGCGTCGTAGGCTCGCAGCTTTGACAATGCAAGTCTGACGTGGCAGCGATTCATGGTATCCAAGATATAGAGCTGTGAAAATGACGGCCATACGAACGACACCCGCAAAAGCTGATCTCTCTAAGAGATAAGCATATATGACAGCTCCTGAAGCGGCAATACGTTAGTGCTCCTAGCTTCTACGTACATTGAGTGCTATCTCCAGTGAACAGCTCGAATTGTAGCGTATAATAGTAGCGCCGATCCCCGGCGCGGCAACCTTGTTGCCATTTATCGAACCTGCTCTTATGCTCTTTAAGACGGTGTCCTGAAGATCGAAACGACACAAAGCTCACGCGCTGCACAAAGCCGGCCCATGGTCATTACAGTCACCAAGCATTTCAAGGTTGAACCCCGATGACCACACAGCCACGCGCGAGCTCTTCTTGCTCGCTCTTGCTCGACGTCAGTGAGAATTCTGCAGTGCAAAGTGCACGTCGAGAGAGCTTCCTCGTAGCGCAGGAATGGCGGATATTGACACACATTCGTCGTCGTCCTCGGACGGCGGTGGCGACGTGTTCCTCTCGCCGCGGTCGTCCGTGGCCAGCAAACGCAGTGTACAATCAGTACCTACGGTGCAGGAGGACAGCAACAATCAACCCGAGAGGGAGCCCCACGACTTCGAAGACGTAAGACGCAGCACTATGAGTCGCCGCGAGACGTGGATCGGTGAAGGTCTGATCGACGCAAGCGGCCTCGAGGCCATCGACCGTCTCAGTGATGAGGCCTACGCTGAAATCGTCCAGGAGTCACATGCCATTCGGCGTGACGGTCCGTCGTTGGAATCGGACGCCAAAGCCACTAAACTCAGCGAATTTCTTAGTAAAACATACCCGGCCGAGAACGGCGACGTGTCCAAGAAAGCAACGCACCGTCGTCGCAAGCTACTCGACTTCTTGGCCAACGACGTGGGCGAGAGTTACCTCAACGGCGTCTACAAAGAAGAGGAGCGTGCGGCCGGCGAAGACGAAAGCGGTTTGGATGAGCTCGTCTGCGATAGCGACGACGAGCCTAGATTCGAGGACTCGTACACGCGCAGCAACCGCTCGGCGCGGGCTAACGACCGGCTTCAAGCCTTCCTAGCCCATGAGCGGAAGGGCAAGCACCACAGTAGCAACGGCCACCAAGCGGCTCATGCACCTCCGCCATCCACCGAGCCACGCAACAAATTCGTGACCAAAGTGGTGCCTCACAAGTCGCGTATGATGCTGTTCAACCCCGACGAAGTAGACTCCACACAACTCAGCCAAATGGTAGCTGAGGAGGCCGAACGCAAGCAGAAGGCGCGTGCTGACAAGGAGATCGCGCGTCAGAAGGTGCGACAGTTCCTGCTTGAAGAGGAACAAGAACACGCCAAGCGCAAAGGATCGGGCAATGACGCGACTATCAAATCTGTAGACGAATCCACTGTACGTCGAGAGACGGTGGTGGACGACTACGGAAAGGTTAACCTCTTAGATTACCTCGATCGCGTAGCCGACGATGGCCACCGTAGCCGCAACGGCGGCAGTGTGCCGTCCGAGATGGATGACTCCAGTCCACCGAGCGATGCGTCGTCTCCTCGGTCCGTTGCGTCTTCACTTGAGGCAGACACTAGCACGCCCTTCACACAGGGAGACGATGTGTCACCCCCAACGTCCAACGCCTTGTCGGGTATGGGCAGTCGCTTTGCTCAGTTCCTGCATCGTGGCCCGTCGAACGGAACTGAGGACAGCCACACGCCACGTTCTCGTCGTCTGATGCCGCCGTCGCCGTTCCATCCCAAGTCGAGTGAGAAGATGAGTCTGGAGGCCGCTTTCCACGCTACCAAGATACCTGAATCGCCTGCGCCGGCTGTCTACGGTGTGGCTTCTGCGCGTATGACGCCGCTGCTGGCCACGATGGACCAGATCGCGCACACGTGCCAGAAGAACGAGCTGTCGGAGGTGTCCATCGCGCGTATTTCGACTTTATTGACGTCCATCAACCAGATCGTACGTGACGACATTCAGAAACACCGCGGCCAGCCGAACCGGGTCGTTCGTCGACTGTCCGGCGCTCACTGGGTCAAGAGCGAACAAGAACAAGAGAAACCGCACCGAGCGCCGATGCCTCCGAAGCCAGAAATCCCGCGTGAACCTGCTCCGGTCATGTCTGTCTCTGCAACCGTGGACACTGCCAAGATCAAGGCTGGACCGGGTGTGTTGAACGCGTTCAAGGCGTTTGATGCAGCTCAGAACCTGATTGAAACGCTCTCGAGCTTCAACAAGCTTCTCACGGAGTGTGGACTCAACGGTGTCAAAGTGGACGAGCCATGGCGCGTGTACAACCACATCAAGTCGGGCGTGTACAGCAAACTGGGATTCCGTCACAAACAGCTCTTCAAGCTACTGGATGCGCGCTTCAACATGGACGTATACAAGCGCAAACCTGCTGCCAAGAAGCGCGTGTGTATTATCGGAGCTGGACCCGTGGGTCTTCGTGCTGCTGTGGAGACTGCACTGCTTGGTGGCCAAGTGGTGGTCTTGGAGAAGCGCAAACACTTCAGTCGAGAGAACATTTTGCATCTGTGGCCGTGGGTGGTGCAGGACTTGACGGCGCTTGGAGCGAAGGTCTTCTTCCCATCGTTCTGCCACTCAACTGCGTACTTCCACGTCGGTACGCGTCAACTTCAGCTTATTCTACTTAAGGTGGCGCTGCTTGTTGGTGTGACAGTCTACTCGTCAACAGCGTTTGAAGCGGTGATTTCCCCCAACTCGGAGGAGAGCGACAACAAGCCGTTCTACACTGTAGCCACGCAGCCACAGATCCCGTGGATGGAGTTCACGGCAGTAATTGGAGCCTCCGGTACCAACGACAAGTTGGCTGAACCTGCCGGTATCAACCGGTTCGTGTTCAGTCGCAAGGAAGCGCTGGGTATCGTCTGCTACTTCCCGAACCTCGGCACAACTGAAGAGAAGAAGGTGACGGAGTTCTCGTGGACGATCCAGTTCAAACAACAAATGTTTGCCAAGATGCGCGAGATCGGCGTTGATCTGGAGAATATCGTGTATTACCGTGGCGAAATGCACTATATCGTCATGACTCCGAAGCGTCAGAACTTGCTGGAGCAGAAGGTTCTTAAGGCGAATTACCCGGAGCCACGGGACTTGGTGCAGGACGACAATATCAACAAGGGTACGCTGCATGACTACGTTAAGCGGATCGTGGCGTTCCTGGGGATCCCGAAGAAGGCCGAGTTCTCGCGTATCCGAATGTTCGACTTCAGCTCGCGCACTCGCGCTGACAAGGCCGCGAGTATCCTCACATCTCATGGCAAGAAGCTCTACGTTGGTCTCATTGGTGACTCATTGATTGAGCCGTTCTGGCCTGAGGGTGTTGGAACCTGCCGTGGTTTCCTCGGTGCACTCGATGGCGTGTGGATGGTGGCCCAGATCGGCAAGAAGACGGACGAACAATTACTGGCCGATCGAGAAATGGCTTATCGGGTTATTCAGCACGTGTCGGGCTTCCGTCGCGATGACTTGCAGAAGAATGTGCGGAAGTACACGGTCGACCCCAAGTCGCGCTACACGGTCAAGTTCCCGCAGCTGTGTTAAAAGTGTTGTTCATGTCAAATATAAACCTCTGAAGTTGCCCCTACTAGTGCATGCACTTCACTTGGTTTTATAAAAGTGCTGACTATGGTGAACTGCACTCAAGCTGCTTGTTTGCAAGGTGGTTACATAGGTTACCGAGGATAAGAGCCCAGAAGAGGAGGATTATCCCCATTGAGTCTTATTCCAGCTGACTGGGGTGAGGTTTGATGAGCTGAGTAGGACGATTTAGTCAAGTGAAGACGTCAACCTGCCATGTGGTGTTCTGGTGAGAAAGAATAGGAAGGTTTGACTGATCTGAGAAGCATAGGCTCCTTGTCTTCAGTTCGGATTCTGCAGTGGGTTGTCAAAGTCCTCATTACGGATTCAAACGCCTTGGTCAAGCTTTGGAACGATGTCAACGCTAGATCAAGGGAATGCGCCGACATCGGCCTCATTGACCAGCAAACGGAGTCTGCGCAAGCTGGAACGAAGACCTCCTGTCCACGATGGCTCTCGTGAGGTGGCCGGGGCTCGGGATCGCCAGGACGCGTACATCGGTGAAGACCTCTTTGATGGAAAAGGTCTCGACTTTCTCGACCGCCTCAGTGGTGGGCGTAGTCGAAACATTCTGGACTATTTGGCGATCGATGTTGATAACAAAAATGCTGATGACAAGGAGAACAGTGACGTGGTCAATAACAGTGATGAACGAAAATTATACAGCGGTGAGCTCCGTTCCACAAGACACCAGTCGATCCCAGCTCCGACTGGCGCAGTGATGATCAACCCTAACGAGATCGACTCTGATCAGTTGGGTCAGATCGTGGCGGAGGAGGCCGAACGCAAGCAAAAAGCTCGTGCCGAGAAGGAATTGGCTTGGCAAAAAGTGAGACAGCTTTTAATTGAGGAAGAGGAGAAAGCTTCGTCGAGCATCGGCAGTATAAGCGTGGACTCGTCACGTGGCGATAAGGACGAAGACAACATCAACACGGTGAAGCTGCTCGATTCCTTGGTTAGATCTGGCGCCGATGACTTCTCTTACAACCGCAGCGTATCGTCCGATGTGGACGCTGCTCCAGTTGTGGATTCGTCACTTGCTCAGTCTCAAATGTCGGCATCGAACAGCAGCACCAGCGCTGATTCCACCCCAGAGGTGAAGGAGATGAAGGAGCCAACGTTCGCACGACACATCGACCGAATGGGTACCAAGATTTCAAAGTTCCTGAATCGCGGACAGGCATCGGACGACGAAAGCAGCGATTCACTCAAATTCCGTCGCTTCCACGAACATTTTGTTGCTGGCAAATCGTCCGTTCGATTGGCGCTGCTAGCGACGCTGGAGCAAGTCACTCGAACTGTTCAAAGAGCGGAACTCTCCGAGGCATCCATGGTTCAGATTTCTGCTCTGTTGACCTCGATCGACCAGATCGCTCGCGAGGATATGAACAAGAAGAACGGTCAGCAGAAACGAGGGTTTCGACGTCTTTCGAGCTCTCAGTGGCCCAAGACCAGCAACGATTCCGGTGACCAGGAACCAGCGCCTAAGACACAATCGGAGAACTTGACGAACTCGTCGAACTCGTCGACGTCATCAGCAATCATTGAGACTTTGCATGCCCGAGTTGTGCCTACAGCGTTGAACTCGTTCAAGGCTTTCGACGCAGCACAAGACTTGGGTGATACTCTCGCAGCTTTCAGTAACCTGCTTAATGACTGCGGTCTCATCGGTGTCAAAGGGGACGAGCCGTGGCATGTATTTTTCCACATCAAGGCTGCGGTTTACAGCAAGCTGAGCTTCCGCCACAAGCAGCTCTTTAAGTTGATCGATGCGCGGTTTAACCTGGATGTGTACACCAGAAAACATGCTGCCAGGAAGCGTGTCTGCATCGTTGGTGCTGGACCAGTTGGCCTCCGTGCTGCAGTCGAAACTGCATTACTTGGTGGCCAGGTGATTGTGTTGGAAAAGCGTGAGCACTTCAGTCGCGAAAACATGCTTCACCTGTGGCCGTGGGTGGTTCAGGACTTGGTCTCTCTTGGTGCAAAGGTCTTTTTCCCGCAGTTTGGCAAGTCGAACTCACATTTCCACGTCAGTATGCGGCAGTTGCAGGTTATCTTACTCAAGATCGCGCTGCTACTGGGTGTGACAGTGTATCCATCCACTGAATTCGAGTCCATCGTGTCTCCGGGTCTGGAGGAGAGTGGTGGTTTACCTTTCTACTCTGTAGTGACTCAGCCGCAGATCCCAACGATGGAATTCACAGCAGTGCTGAGTGCTTCCGGAACGAGCGATAAGCTAGCCAAACCCGCTGGTATCAATCGGTTTGTGTACAGCAACAAGGAATCTCTGGGTATCGTTTGTTACTTCCCAAACCTCGGAACTTCTGACGAGACCAAAGCCAAGGAGTTCTCGTGGACGGCTCAGCTTAAACACCCGATGCTCGACAAGTTGCGGGAATTTGGATTTGATCTGGAAAACGTCGTATACTACCGTGGCGAGATGCACTACCTGGTGATGACTCCCAAGCGCCAGAACTTGGTTGACTTTCGTGTTGTGAATGAAGACCGTCCAAGCACAACAGATCTGGTTATGGACGATAACATCAACAACAGTGCATTGCACGAGTTTGTCAAGAGTATTGTCGACTTCGCTGGTATCCCGAGAAAAACCGACTTCACACGTGTCAGTTTGTTCGATTTCAGCTCTCTCACATGTGCTGACAAGGCTGCGAGTATCCTCTCGTCACACGGTAAGAAGCTTTACGTCGGTCTCATTGGTGACTCGTTGCAAGAGCCCGTATGGCACGAAGGTGTGGGAACCTGTAGTGGTTTCTTGAGTGCCCTTGATGGTGTGTGGATGGTGACACAGATCGGCAGGACGTCCGACGAACAGCTTCTGGATGACCGCGAATCCGCGTACCAAGTGACGATGCGTCTATCAAGTCACCACCGCGACGACTTGCAGAAGAATGTGCGCAAGTACACCGTAGATCCCAGATCGCGTTACACAGTCTAGTTGCATTGTTGCGTACATAGTAAAGTTGATGTGAAGTCGTGAACCGATAGATTGGGATCAAAATCATGATGAAGTGATGTATTTCAGACCATTTAGTCCAGTACAAAATTCAAATTTCACAGCATCATCTGGCGGGAACACTTAGTGACCATACTGAAAACCAGTCAAAATGGACGAGGACGAAGACACCTACGGCTTCGGGTCCTTCTCGGACCTGTTCGACGCAGGGCCAACGCAGGCTGTCAAGCAGCTGGACATGAGCGCATTGAGTCGCTTCTGCATGCCCGAGCGCTTGCTCTCGCGCTTTGAGCAGCAGCAGCGACGGGACAAACGCATTGTCCTGTATCAGCACGTGGCTGCAAAGTTCGACGGCGTTCGTATCGATGGCGGTTTGGGCGCGCTGGGCGTGGCACCGCTCGATGGCGGTGGAGTTGTATGGCTGCAGACGACGCAATCGGACTCAGATGTGCTGGAACGACGTAAGAAGGAGCTACAGGACATCACAAATCGCCAGGACCAAGGAGACCTCAAGTCGGCGGCTGCGCTGTTCGTCTCCATTAAGCACGTCGCTACAGTGCAGCCCACTACAGTGCAGAATACAGTGCAGGGCGTAGAGATGAAGCTGGTAGACGGCAACCGCCTCGAACTCACCTTCATGCCCGGACCTTTTGCAGATTCCAAGCATCGAGATGAATTTCTGAAGACTCTGAAAATGCAGATGAATAGCGGCAATAAGAACACACGTGAAACTGTGGATAATGCAGCAGCTCACACTCCTAGTCGACGTCGTGATGCTACGCCGGAATCTAGGAGGAAAACTGTAAGCTCGAAGACCAAGGAGAAGGAAAAGTACCGCCAGCTTGTGCGGAGATATACCAAGTTGGACCCGGTGAGTGCTGAAGCACTTGCAATCGCCAAGCAGGTGTATGCAGGAACGGGGTATTATTTAGGACCCACGACGAGAAATATGCCCAAGTTCTCGGAAGACTCGGAATATCGCAAGAAAACAGTGGAGAAGCTGTCGGATGCTCTGAATCGGATGAACCAGGAGTGGAGCGAGGCAGATGCGCATCGGGAGCTGCATACGAAAGCCAAACATTCTAGAAATGAGGATGATTTATTCGAGTATGCAGACACAGTCACAGGTGCACAGATCCCGACCCGGACGTATGAAGAGCGGTATCTGGAGTACGTGAAGGCACACGAGGTCAACCCTGTGATTCACATGTTTCCTGTGCAGAAGAGAACAGCAAATGGAAAGGAAGCGAAACCACTGCGTGGCTCCGTGTCGGCCTCATCACTAGGACCTAACGACAACTCACGATCGCTTTTCATGAAGACACTAGGAATCGACATTTGCTCAAGTTTGGTCATTGATAGTGATTTCTTCTCAGACGGCGGACCGTCGGGTGCATCAATGTACAGAAGTGAGGATGTGGCATTTCAAGCTGCAGTGAATAGTGCTCGGACGAATCTGTGGAAGAGTTGGGGCGTAGCTTTTGCTCGCGTTGGACATGATCACCCCAAAAGCCAAGCTCAGTCAACAAACGGTGTTCCAGGTATTGTACTAGCTAACTACACGCGTTTGGTCCAGCCTTATTAAGTGTCTGTGGTACTTGCTAGGTCAATCAACAACGCGAAAACGGCCTAGAGAGAGGAGACAAAGTCTGGCGTTACCTACTTCGGATGATCTTCAATCAGCTGTTGAAACCAAGAATTCACGAGATGCGAATGATACAGCTTCAAACGGAGGCAACTCGCATGAGTCACGTACAAAACGCAGTCGATCCAACACAGCCCCGAAGTCTCGACGCAAGGCTCGCAGACAGAGTATCGTAAACACGGTGGATTTACCTTCGATTGTGGGAAGTGAAGCTGAGGACAGGGCGACTGCTGTAAAACGCAAGACACCACAATTATCTCGCAAGTCTCCACGGCCAAGGCATCCTGCTACTGGTTATGCTCGTGAGGCCAGCTCTCTCGAGATGGTAGAAAATGATGATCCAAGTTTGTGCAAACTCTGTTACAGCGAAGAAGCGCTAGTGCACATGAAGCCTTGCGATCACGCCGTGTGTAGCGCGTGCTGGTCGCGATTGCCTCCAGCATCAGGGAAGAACGGGACGGAATTGCGTCGCGTGTGTCCCTGGGATCGCGAGGTGGTAACGAAACGGTAGCAGTATAACAAGTTGCAGTATTTGCGAGAAACTTGAGGGGAGTTTCAGTATTGACTACTTGGAGCTTGTGCGTCGAAGCCTTAGGTGATATGGCTGGCCAGCATGTGGCTGATCATTCGAGAGGTAAGCGTGGACAGCACGGTGTGCTGTCGCTTCAGAAGGTTAAGGCTAATGTGCGCTTCTTACAGATTATCGACGACTGA